GTCCGAGGCGGCTAGGGCATAGGCTGAGGGGCAGCAAGGAAGGAGGGTCCCTCCAAGGTCACAGCCCCAACCTGGGCTGCCCATGAGGACCTCCCAAGCAGCACTGCTCTGTGGCTGGGAGCGGGGTCTCTGCTGAGGGCCTTTGGCCATTGTATTGTATAGGGAAGAGCAGCCACCTGCCCTCCGTAAGGGGTCTTGGAAGTCAAAGAGCAAAGTGGGAAGCAGCAAGGAGACAGAGGGCCCACGGTGTTCACAGGGCGGGTGGGAGTGAGCTGGGGCCAACCCATGGCGGAACTGGTACTTGGCAGCACCCACCAGGATCACAGTGAGGGGGGCTGGAGCTGGGGCACAGTTGGCACTGTAAGCCAGACAGCAGAGCATGGGGTGAGAGGCCATGCCAGTTGATGCCAGGTGGGCCCAACCTCTGCAGGGACCCTCACCACATCCCAGGAACTGTCCTGAGTGGGACACGGGAAGAGCACAGTGAGGCCACAGAAAAGGATGGGCCCCTGACTCTTGAAGCACCAACCTTAACAGTCCTCTAGTCAGGGACAGGAGGAAAATCAACTAGACGGGGACATCCAATTGATCTCTCCGCCTTCCTGGGCTCAGGGGGAAGAGACCTCCCTGATGCAGGTTTCCCTGTCCATTCACAGTCCTGACCAGGCAGATGTCAGGAAAGGATGCTCTGAACACTCCTCCTCCACTCCTCCCATGCAGAGGTCGGGGTGGAGGACAAGTCTCAGGGCGTGGAATCCTATTGCCTGAGTTTACTATTAACATGAGGGAGTGGGGGTGAGACAGAACGTGGCAATTTTGCTTCCCACACAGTTCATGGAGAGGGTCTGGTAGGAGAACAGGCCTGCTGGACAAACATGCAGAGAATGATTTCGGCAGACGAGCTTTACAGAAATATGCACGATCTGCTTGTGGAAACAGAACAGAGATGCCTGGAACCTACATGTTGTGATCTGGGGTAAGGCTAGTACTCAAGGTTGGGAGGATGATGCGAGATTAGAGGAAAGGCTAGAAAATACCACCCTGCTAGCAAACCACTGTGCCCTCCAGCCCCTCACAGGGACCTCACTGGAAGCTGCCCTGCTGGCTGGCTCTGGATTTTCTGTGACAGCTGGGTGGGGTTTCTTAGCTATCAGGACTACCTGGGAGGAGTAGGAGTCATTTTGCAGCCATAGGGCCCAATTTGAAAACCTCTTTCCAGAGATCCAAATAATGATTTACAGATTAGGCGAACTGTAACCTACCTGCATTAGGTTTGAGAGCTCTGGAATTCAAGGTCAAGCTCCATCTCTGCTCTTACATGATGAATGACTTTCTGCAAGTTACTTAACGTCTTTTTGCCTGTGTCTTCATCTGTAAAATGGGGAAGGTAATAACCTAGCACAGGGCCGTTGAGATTTAAGTGAAATATGCATGTAAAGTAACTGCAGTGTCTAGCACAGAGTTTTCAATAAATGGTACAATTTGGTGCATGATACTAGTCTCACCTGCAGGCAACACCTCCAGCCCAAAGCCCACTGGCTTAAGATCTGCACTTCCAGAGTCAAGGTCAATGAAGGTCATCTGCCCACTGGACTGGGTACACACTGATTACACTTGAACTGCAAATCCTCCAGGCCTTCCTACCTTTATTCCCATCTCACTTGCTATATTCCAGACTCTACTCTTTGGACAGTGAGCTCCTTGAGGGTATAGCCCACAGCTTCCTATTCATCTCTCTATTGCCCTAGCCATCACACCGCCTAGCCCACTAGATGGGAGGCAAGTGTTTGTTGGATGGAGATTCTGAGGACCGCAGACGCCTCCTGTGGACCCTCTTCTCTTGCAGTTGACACATCAGTGAGCTGTACTTCTGTGAACTGTTAGAATGGAGAGGAGTTTTGGGGTCCAGGATTTGAGTCAAAATGATCTTGGAGGGGAGATGTGTTAGGGACCCCATGGTACTAGGTATGAGGGGACAGGATTTGACTGAGGCTTTCAACTGACACCAAACAGAACTACAGCCAAGGGGAAGCAGACCCAAGGCCAATGAACAGACACATGAGATGAGAAATACCAAAATATGGACCATCCAGGAGGCCAGGGGACAGAGCTCAAAAAAAAAAAAAAAAGAAAGAAAAAAGACAGGGGGCCGGGCGCTGTGGCTCACGCCTGTAATCCTAGCTCTTGGGAGGCCGAGGCGGGCGGATTGCTCAAGGTCAGGAGTTCAAAACCAGCCTGAGCAAGAGCGAGACCCCGTCTCTACTATAAATAGAAAGAAATTAATTGGCCAACTGATATATATATAAAAAAAAAAATTAGCCGGGCATGGTGGCGCATGCCTGTAGTCCCAGCTACTCGGGAGGCTGAGGCAGAAGGATCACTCAAGCCCAGGAGTTTGAGGTTGCTGTGAGCTAGGCTGACGCCACGGCACTCACTCTAGCCTGGACAACAAAGCGAGACTCTGTCTCAAAAAAAAAAAAAAAAAAAAAGACAGGGAATCAGGGTATGGATTAATTAATTCCCTTACACTTTAACAAATACGTAAATAAATGTATATACTGGATATGAATTTACATTCTCTGCTTGTAATGTTTTCCCAGCAAAACTAATGGAATGCCTTATTCACTAGCAATCTCCAGATTGCTTTTAATCAAGAAACTGATTTTATAGCAAAGGAAGTGAGGCAATGGACCTGTCACCAGGTAATTCACTGGTTTTACCATAAACCTTACTAGGAGGCAGCAGCCAGATAAACAGAAAGGAAAAATGGCCTGGTGAAAACTCAGTTACAGCACTGAGCATTTGGGAGACAATATCCTGAAAGGATGAGTACCAACTCAAAGGTTGTGCTTTGCATGAGTTTGTCTCTCCCATAACCATAGTTCACAGGTCCAGGAATGGAGGGACAGGAGTGGGAGTGGTCTCTCTTCACCCGTTTCTCAACTTAGAGTGCTGCCAGTTTGGAAGGATTGGTTTTCCAAGGAGGAATGGCTCCAGGGGACAGACAATAGTTCACTGAATTGCAAATTGAGGCTCACCCAGTTATTTTGGGCTCTTCAGGGCACTGAACAAGCAAATAAGGGGATTATTCCACTGAGGTGGAATATTGCCAGGGCTAAATGAGCTGCTGCTGCACACTAGGAGCTGGGAGAACTGTCTGGCACCCAGATTTCCTGGGGCCCCTCTTAGAAATAGCAAAAATGAATGGAAAACTATTACCAAATAAAGGCAGGACAATTAATTCAGACCTTTTAGGAATAAAGGTCTGAACCAACCATAACAAAAAAAGAATCCTGACCAGCTGAGATCTCGGCTGAAGGCAAAGAAAACAGAGAACAGGTAGTGGAAAAAGAAGTAATAAGTATCACCTACAGCCTCATGAGTTATACATGATGCACATATTCTTTCTTGTGTGTGCACACACATACACATACACAGACACACACTTCTCTCTCCTCATTATTTCACATTATTTCATGCAGTTTTTTGTTGGAAGGTAACAAGGTAAGTAACTTTACCCTTTAGTCTTTTGGTAGCATTCTGTTGTTCTCTATATTCTATTCACTGGGACATGACTGAATTACAGGAGTCAACACAGCCCAGAGGTTGATACAATGATTTTGGATTTTACACTCCTTCATTTTTGGGAGGGTGAGTAGATCTTCTTTTAATTGGTTACATCTTGTTGGGCAGAAACAGAGTTGCTCTGTGGTAGGATGGAAGGTCAAGCATGTGTGGAAGGCTGTGCACAGATGCTAAGTGGCTAGCGGGGAGGACTGAGCCAGTTATGAAGCTCTCGTCTCTCCGCTCCACACCTGCTCTTTTCAGCTCTGCCTTTCTGATACCAAGGCTAGAGCTCTGCACACAGTTCTGCTTTTCCAGCTGGCATCCTATCGGAGTTTTCCAATAGGGTGCGCTTGAAGGAAGCGTCCTCGCTGGAGGAAGAAAGAACATGCTCATGCTCCTTCCTGTTGCAGTCAGCATCACTGCAGCAGTTTGTTCCCACAGCCACAGGTGACTCCAGCTGCCCTTTTCAACCCACTCAGAACCAGCTTCATTATAGTCTGAAAGACACCAGGGCCAGATGAGCAACACCCATCCTCAGAGCTCTTCCTGAAGTTTCTACCTCTTCGATTCTTGTTTTCTTTTTTAGTTACCGTGTCAATAGTTCCTTATATCATGTTAAATAACTTGTATGGTTTCTATTTGTACTGTGACCGATAGACACAGAAAGATTTCTACCTACTGAAACTGAGTTTCAAGACTATCCCTGTAAGTCCTTTGTCAACAATAACTGAGACTTGGCAAAAGTTTTTCTCCCTTGGTATTTCACATGGGCACTGGTCATCCAAGTGCCTCTGATGTCCATCTTTAGGCTAAGATACTTAATCTAAACAAAACATTAAAAGCTTAGGCCTGGAGCATTTCTTACTTCGAAACAGAATTCTTTGCACTTTCTTCTAATCCAATATTCCTTACCCCTATTAAGGAGAATAAACAACTATACTTTGATATTAAAAATGTAAATTGGGCTGGGCGAGGTGGCTCATGGCTGTAATCCTCTGGGAGGCTTAAGTAATGGGGGGAGGGAGGGAGTAATGCTTGAGGTCAAGAGTTCGAGACCAGCCTGAGTAAGAGTGAGACTCTATCTCTACTAAAAATAGAAAAACATTAGCAGGGCACAGTGGGACACACCTATAGTCCCAGCTGCTCTCGGGTGGGACAGGCAGGAGGATTGCTTGAGACCAGGAGTTTGAGACTATGACTGTCTCAAAAAAAAAAAAAAAAAAAAAAAAAAAAAAAAAAAGGAAATTCAGCTGTGGCAATGATTAATATCAATTAGAAAATATTTGCATAATAAATGTATGTCAATGACATTGACATTGCCTGGACCGCCCCACATATTTTACTCTGCAATGCAGTTAAAGTGGAGACTCATACACCGAAGGACAGGATTAGTACAGGATCCCCATTTCCCTTGTATTGACAAGTCCACAACCTGGTTCTTGCTGATATTTTCCATTTATTACTGCAGTAGACAATTGCTCTGAAAGTGCAACACTAATCACTCTTGTCACAGCCTCTGCTCCTTCTCCACTGGCAAATACTCGGAAATTCATTCTTGGAGCATCGCAGACCACAAGCTTCTTTCTGGGTGGAAAATTATTGCCACTGCCAGTGTCACGGGGAAAACACATACACACACACACACACACACACACACACACGCATGCACGTACGCACGCACACATATACACAAACAGAAAGATATACAGAGAAGAGCACTCGAGAGGACTGGGGGCCAATTTCAAACAAAACCCAGCAAAGGGGTCAGGGGACAGCAACCCTGACAATGCAAAGTACAGACTGACTCCCTGTTCTCCAGTGGCAACCTGGCATGCTGGTTACTTTGGCCCCGGCAGACCTTTTTTCCCTTTGTCTCTAAAACAGGTGATACCATAACCATAATTGTGTCACATCTTAGTATATGATGCCCATGGAGTCAAAATAAATGAACTCACAAGCTAGTTTAGAAAAATAGGAGATTTGGATAAACTGACTAGTCTATCTCCCATTTAAAGCTGTTAGGCAGAATATCTGGGAGAACACTGGGGGTAAGATGTTGCTTAACAGGGAGAACCCCTTGTTCTAACCAGCATAGGGTCAGCTTATTTTTGATGGGAAAAGAACTGTTAAATACTACAGTGACAAAGAGGAAAGGAAAACATGAGCAGCTCTAGAAAACATAAGACTTAAAAATCTAAACCAAAAAAAAAAAAAAGCAAAACAATAGACAATACACCTAATCACTGGGCCTGGCCAAACCCTCACTCATAAGCACATTGTACACATATGCATCCCAATCCACACACACAACAGTCAGGTAGATGCCCCAAAGAGGGCAAATCCAAACGTCTGCTCTCTTTGGAATTTTCATGGCAAATCTGAGTATAGGCAAAAGTGAAGACCTCCCTGGAATCTAAACAAATCTCAGGAGGCAGCCTTTGCTCCCCACTGTAGCCAACATTGCTCCTGTATTTGCCTGAACCCTTCACAATTGTCTGGACACCAGAATGCATTCTTCATATTCCTGGAGTTTAAATCACTGCAAGATCTGATCTGATCTAACTTCACCTGTAATGGAAGCACCTCCTTTTTGGCCCCTGTACTCCCCTATTCTTTTAGGAAAAAGCATCCTAAAACAGTGGTAATTAGGGGGTATTCAGGAGTTGGAAAACAGGAAGAGAGTAATATAAATACAATAAGGAAATGCTTTCCATTTTCATATGATTTCTCTGAGACCAGGTTGTCAAGGATCCCCTAGCCTTCAAGGATATGTTTTAAAGAGAGGCCTTAATTTAAGGTACTGCAATCTTTGCTCACAAGAGCCGAGTAAGAAATGCTACTTGGAGGTTGCTGTAGGACTCTGACTCATTACTTATTTGAATCCTAGGTGCTCTTTTGACCTCTCTGACTTTCTGCAGTGAGATCACCCAGCCTCTCTAATAAGTGACTGGGTCGTTTTCAAAGCATGCCTGCAGTGGCCTTCAAGAGGTTTCTGTCTGGGCATCACGGACCAGCACACATTTGCTAACATACATACCAGGTGATGAGGACTGAAAGTAGGGTTTTCCAACCTTCACAGACAGGCACAGCCATGCAAATAAAGCCATCCAGCAAGGTCACCTTTCCTTCAGAAGTCCCAGTTTTAGGATCATAGAATTTACATATTATTAACAGGCCTGGTAATAACCAGCTTCGCTTCCTTTTCTCGATGAGGGGCATACAAGATCCCACAGAAACAGGCTTGACGCACCAGCCCTGCTCATCTGGGAAAATGATCTCAGTCACTGCCCTCTGCTCCAAATCCTGTACTTGGAGCCTATGTTATAAGCTAGCTTCTGGTCAAACTGGATTCTGCTCCGGTTTCTTACCAGGGAATTCCCTCTAAGCCGCCACAGTGAAACCAGCACGACCCGCTGGATTACAATCTAAGTGCAGCAGTGCCTAAGAAGCAGAGAGCCCATAGGAGGGAAGACTGGAGGGCATAAGGCAGGAGATGACACAAAATCCTGGACAATCATCACATCAGTAACATAGCTTCAGAAAGTGGTTGGCTTGGGGGAAGAGGGGAGAGAAAGAAACAAAATGTCCCAATAATTTAATGGCAGAGCTAGAAGAGAGCATTTACAGCTATTCCGGGACTCTCCAACAGAAAGCTTTTCCTGGATGCACAGACATTCATAATACTGATATCTCTCACCAACAGCTCTGGCATGTACACGTGGTCACACTGCCCTTCGTACAGCATGAGAAGAGCACGACAGGATGCCCAGGAGGCATCTGGACAGCACACAGCAAAATGAAGGGCTGAACTCCCCCCACAGAACCCCATTAAAAAACAATGTTTGTCTATTACAAAGTCACGTTTGCCGTTTTTCCGCTTTATAAAGTCAGCGATGCTGGAGGGTGTCTAGCGGAATCCGTCCTCCAGGAATGAGTGCAAAAGGGGAGCACACGGCTCAGGGACGTCCCTTCAGTGAGCAGATGGAAGGACTGGCTGGAGGCCTCCCATCCATTTCGGACAAACACACACACACAGAAAAGGATTATTGCCAGCTTGTGTACTTTCACAATGTGATTTTTGTATTTCGAAAGCTTGAATTGTCCCTGAAAGAAAAAATGGGAGAAAATAGAGTGTTCAATACATGGATCATCTACACACAGCCACACACATACAGGGGGAGAATTGACTCAGCAGCCCTTGGGCTCTCCAGGACACCCCCAGGACCTTTCTCGCTTGCTAATCTACTGTCAAAACAACCCCAAAGCAACCCACCTCCCAAGTCCCTTCAAAAACTTCCATTCAATTGTTTGCAATAACAAAAGATTAGAAACAACCCAAATGCAGATAAAGTGGGAACTGGTTAAATATTAATGCTATGGCACATTCACAGAAATAAAACAAGGAAGCTCTCTACTAATATGGAAAGAACTCCAAGATAAATGTTGCATATGTGTACATAGTGTGCTACCTTTTGTATAAGTGGGGGTGCGGGAAATAAGGCTAGATGTTGATACTAGCTTGTATATACCTTAAGAAACTCAGCAAGGCTACACCAGACACCCACAACAGTGGTTACATAGGGCAGAAGGGCAGAAGAGGGCACAGTGGAATCTGGGCACATGGAGTAAGCTATGTGAGAGAGAGACTCTTTCTCGTGCTCTCCCTTTGTTTCTCTCTCTCGCACACATTTTTTAAAAAATTGAACCATGTGATTGTATTACATAAATCAAAAAACCAACCAACTGACAACTAAAAATCCTCAGTTTAACAATTAGAGCTGCTTACAAAAAGAAAGGATATTCCAGGTGAAATCTGGGTACCCATCACTCTGAAAATATTCTCTAATTCCTGAAAGAGAAGAGAGTGTGAGAGAGAGTGTGTGTGTGTGTGTGTATGTTGTAGGATCCCAATGTGTTAGGTGCATTCTATTGGATGCAGATAGGCTTGGCCACCCCCTGGTGATCTTTCCTGTCCCACACTAGAAATCCAATGACATCTCAGCAAGCCCCAACACCATCTGAATCTCAAAATCTCAGGGCTGGTAGAGGCTTTAAAGTCTACCTAGCTCCTGCCCTAGCCGCGTGCTTCAAACTCAAATTTGCTGGAAATTTTGAAACAATTCTTATTAACCAGGATTATTTCCCTTTAACTTTCAAAGAACATTCTAGAAGTTCTGCCTTTAACTGACCTATCTTAAAATTGTTACAATAAACTGGGCCTATGGCAATTGGTCCAGAATAAATAAATACTGAAGAAATAATATGCTCAGCCCAGCCTAATAGCAGTCTCCTCCTGTTACTGGCTAACACATCCTCCCCTACAATGGCAGCAGGCTGACAATAACAGCCCCCACTGCACAAAGAGAACGACTGCAAACAAGTACCAAGGGGAAACTGGAGCTGGTAGAGGTGAACTACGGCTGGGAAGAAACTGATGTTATCTCAAAAGCCTGCTGGCATTTATGTAACTGGCATGCATGCGGATCATCTTATCAATGCCTACCAAGTGTTCCGACTATTTTCATCTAAGGAGCTAAACACAAAGTTAATGGAGTGGTTATCTTTTTAAAAGGCCAATGGTATAAAAAAACTCCTTTCAAAAGGAGAGACCCCTCTGAGGTACTGCAAGTAGCTAGCACAGGATAAGGAACAAGCTGGGCCTGTGGTCCCAGCTACGTAGGAGGCTGAGGCAGGAGGACAGCTTGAGCCCAGGAGTCAGATGCCAGCTTGGGTAACACAGGGAGACCTTGTCTCTTAAAAAAAAAAATGATAAGGAACATATCTGATAATAACACAGAGAGAAAAGCAGACCTAACTGACATGTGCTTGTTATTTCTGAGTTTCCTCAGGGATGATATGCTGTGTTACTGAGACTGCACTACAGAAAACACCTTTTCATACATACACCTAATACTAAAGAAAGTCACTACACAGGAACAGGTGGCTCTGTTCCATTTCTTCCCTTTCAATGACATCTCTATGCCAATACAGCCACTGGACAACAGAAGTCTATCAGTAGGAATTCCTCTTCTTACTAAAGAGTGAACAGAAAGCTAGGGGCATGAGAAAGAAGGATCAGAGAATTTCCTGACTCTGAGAGAATTAGCTATCTTGAAGTATTACGGAGATGGCAGGGAAGTATCTGGATCCAGCTCTTTCAGCTGTTCAGTGATATAAAGAAGAGAATTTTTAAGATAATCATCACTATAAGCAGTCATCTTATCTTTTGGAAGAATTCCTCTACTATGCTGGGTTGGGCCAGAAATAAATTCTTCTCTCTATGGCAGGTAAATTGAAGCGTTCTATAACACTTTCTCATTCAGATATTTAATATTTATTCTAATTATTTCTATTATTATAGACCTCTTTATAGTCAGAAAACCTAAGAAGTTCTATCATACTAAGGTCTGTTTGTGACATGGAAATGGAGAGGAGAAGAGTAAAAGAAGAGCCAGGAGAGTCCAGCTGAGTTTTCCCACTGTTTGATTTAATAGGAAAACAAAGAGGGTGGGTGGCCTGCTCCTGACAGTGACAAGCTAAAGCAGGCGGGTGGCAGTGAGGCCCTATGGCTTTGGTCCAGCCTTTCTTTAAAAAAATGGGCTGAGAACAGCTCAGTACCAAATTAAGTCTGAGGAATGTGTTCACCTCAAACCAGCTAGGAACTAATACTCATTACATTCCTCACCCCAGGCTGCAGTACACAGATAGATAAGAAGACAAGGAAAGGGAGAATGTAGACAGGAAGTGGCACAGGCCACAGGTGAGTTAAAAAAAAAAAAAAAAGCTTCTGTTTTTGTAAAAGCAAACTAAAATTTAGAAAATCCAGTGAGCTCCTGAAAGCTAGCCCTCTAGCCATCTGCCAATGCTGTGATGGCACACAGCCTACACTTAGGGTACCAAACAGGACACAGGAGCTGACATTCCCACAAAGCTGGAGGAAATCAAAACAATTCTTTCTCTACTAGATGTTCCTTTGTCCTGATGATGAGGTTTCAAAAGTACCAGAAAGCCCCATTCAAACTGGCTTTCAACTTCACATTCCCAGGTATTGTGGGGAAAACTGCTGCCCAAATACTCTGACATGGCTTTCTATCCGCTCTGCCACAAATGATCACTTTTTGGAACTCCAAAAAAAAAGTCCAAACCCGGAAACTATGAGCTAAGGTGGAGGTTAACTCCTGAGGGTGGGCGGGGGGCAAGGGAGTCACTCAGAAGGATGCCTCCCTTCTCTTAGAGTTACCTGCCACCAAGGACACAAAAGTGATTCTGGGTCCTCAAGTGAAAGGAGTCATCCAAGGAGACACCCTACTTGAGTCTCTGCTCTAAAGAGTGGCTCTGGGGGGCTCTATGGACCTAAGTGCACGTGGTCTTCAGCTATTAGCTGTCCACCCCAGGACAGTTCTGGCTTCCTTTTCTCTCCCTGCATATTCAATAGAGCTGTAAACCCTTTTTAGGTTTGGTGGGACAAATTCCAACCTCTCATCTCGAACTTTATTCCCCAAAAATGTAGATCATGGTTCTGTGCACGCCAGCCCAGATAGCTAAGTAACTGGAATCCTTCCCTAGCAGCTAACTGGCACTTTTACTGAAGCCATGGTTAAAAGGGAAATACTTATTGTAATGGAAGTCAAATGAAACAGTCCTAAAATGTTAGCAGTCATAGGTAGACATAAAATAGCAGATAAATTGAGGAAAAGTATTTGTGGTTCAATAAGCATGACTTAAATAGTTTTCCTACCAAATTTCTTCACAGATCATGATCTACTCAGAAGAGGTAAAAGAAAAGGGAGAGATGGAAAGAAGGCGTAAGTGTTAAGGGACCTATAACATGGCAGATCCAAATATGAGCTGCAGCATCTTCTTAGAACACCTCTTTCACTTAAAGCGAGGTTAAATCAATTGAGATGCAATATGAAATCCTTTTCAAGTCTGTTAAGATAATGGAGCAAGTGGATTTTTTTTTTGTTTGCTTGTATTCAAACACTCCTCATAGACTTCCAAGTCTGCCCTTCAAGGAGAACATTTAAACCACAATACTGCCTTTATCTGCCTCCCCCACTGCACAAAATAGATACAAGGGGGCCAGGCCATAAAAAGAACAAAGAGACCACAAAATGGCAGTTATGCAAATATATGACTTTTCACAGCAATTCAAAGATATTTTTCCTAGGGGATTTTGTATCTGCTAAGGGGAGAGGAAGTCATTTTAAGTTTTCTTCCATTCTGACAATTCCACTGTTATTTTAAAGACTTTTTTTCTCATGGAACCTAACATGTTGTTGATTTTTAAAGGTACCATCATTTTATGTACTTTAAGAAACAGGCCGGGTGCAGTGGCTCATGCCTGTAATCTCAGCACTTTGGGATGCTGAGGCAGGACGATCTCTTGACGCCAAGAATTGGAGACCAGCCTGGGCAACATAGCCAGACTCCATCTCTACAAAAAAATAAGAAAAATCAGCCAGGAGGATTGCTTGAGCCCAGGAGTTTGAGGCTACAGTGAACTATGATGATGCCACTGCACTCTAGACTGGCCAACAGAGAGAGACACCCTATCTCAAAAAAAAAAAAAAAAGAAAGAAAAAAAAAGAAAGAAACAAAGAAAAGAGGAGAAAGACTATCCATTAAACTATGACAAAACCCTTCTTATGACATTCACTGTAAGTATCCTGATTTTAAGAATATTAAAAGCAAAAATCTTAGAAACCTTAGAAATAATTAAATATGGTATTATTAAAACAATTCAGTTTAACATCAGGCTTCTAAAAATTTAACTTATTATTTTATTTCAAATATTTGCTATTTTCCAGCTTGAAAATCAATACCTTAGACAGCATTAGAGGTAGTACATGTTTTACCTCCCTCCTTGCGGATATTAGCAGCCATCTTGGAATTCTATGTTGACTCTATATTTTAAGGAGAAACCTTTGAGATCAGTACTCACTCTAGCATGGACAACAAAGTGAGACTCGTCTCAAAAAAAAAAAAAAAAACACACAGTCAAAAAAAAAAGAAAAAATAAATAAAAACACAGTCACAGAGTTCCTGCACACATGGGCAAGGCACCCCATAGCTTTTTTTTTAATATTCAATTCCTTTATTCTAAATTCAGTTTTCAGATGTAATGCCACATTTTAAAATCACTTA